GGAGGTACTGGAAATTAGAAAAGGGAGAGAGGTCACACCTTAGGGTGAAAATTACTTCTGGTCTAACAGTAGCAGCATCAGCTATTGCTGCAACATTTGCACCGGGAGGTCGACCATGATTTGCAAAACAAAACATCCAAGTGAATATCCAAGTTTCTTCTTTCAAAAAAAAAAAAAAAAAGAAAAAAAACTAAATGTATTGTATCTGCAGAACCAGAATGTAAGGGCTAAAATTAGCCGCAATGGCGTTTTATTGTACTAATGCAAGTCTTATCCCGACTAGTTCTAACAGTGATCCATTTTTTGTGCAGAAATAAAGTTTCCTGGTGGTGAAGCGGCAAAATCAATGTCTTGTTAGTGGAGATTCAACTGAACAAAGTTTCTGTCATAAGGTAATTCAACTAATGTCTCCCACAAATATATGATCCCACTCTAGAAAAAAAAATTAATTAATTTTAAAAAAATACAAAGAAGAAGAAAAAGAAGAAGAAAATTTACTCACTCCCAATCATCTGAAATAACTCCGAATTTCAATTGGAACGTAGAATTTTGTTCTGCTTCTTGTTTTGTGCTGTAATCGACTGTTGGCATGAAATCAACCCAAACTGGCTGTGAATTTTCAGTCAGATGCATCTAGAAGAGGAAGATTTTCAGTTCCAATTTTAGTTATTTATAAGTCCATTTTCATCTACCAGAACATAAAGCAGTACTGTGATTGTGCCATAATTTGACATAGGTACCAACTAGACAATTAAAAACTTGCTAAAAAGATCAAATCCCCACCCCACCACCACCACCTCTTTGTCCCTACAATAAGAACAAAATACAAGACACCAAGGGTTGGGCCCGGTGGATGAGACACTCCTCTATCAGATGTGATGCTCGGGTTCAAGTCTGACAACTGACAGATTTGGCAGCAAAGTTTTGCTGTTTCCCCCAACCTGTAAAACTGACTTCTTTTAAGTGATGAAAAAGGTGGGAAAATTAAAAGGAATAAATAAAAGGAATCATACCAACTTATTCAACCAGAATGGTCACAAGATCCAAAGTTGCACTTATTTTGTTTTATGCAAAAACAAAGACAAAAGAACAAAAACATGGATAGACAGAAAACAGGATAAGATAGGAATTCTTTATTCAAACTGAAAAGAAAAGAAAAGAAAAGAAGCAAAAAAAAGATTCAAAATCCGTAGTGATAATCAAACAATTCCACTAACCCCTTTTATAAAACTGAATTATGCAAGCTGAACAAATAACGCCAAAAAAGAGATTATGCTTACAATTTCCTGACAAGTAGCCAAACCAAACTTGATTCCAGTTATGGCATGAAACCATGAATAGAGATTGCTGCAAAATTTAATGACACCCCTAAAGAGTCCAAACACCGTAGAATTTTCCTAGAAAGTGAGATTATCTGAGGACAAAGTAGAAACTAGAAAATAGAAAATAACCCAATTTTGCTGTCTCGTCGAGTCATGCTAATCAATAAAGTTTATTGATTGTTTCTTTATTTTTTTTTATTGTTATAATTCAAATAAATAAAAATTTACCGATCAAAAAAAAAAATTTAAAAATGAATCATGCTAACATCAATGACAGGTACACAAACTTATCCAGAATTCTGGCAATCTAGCGAAAACATACACCAACCCAACTCATAAAACGATTTGAAACAAATACACAAGTTTTGTATGCAATCGAAGCATAGGCCCTGGTCAATAACCTATTTTTTTAAAATCTACAAATCACAATTATAAAATGATAAAACAATACTGGTTTTTAATTATTTGCAGAAGAAAAAGAAAATTTGAGTGAACATACGATTTTTCTTCTATATTTTCGTTGAGAAATTACATGGTCAATGTCAATCTATAAAGTATGGAAAGCTCGACAAACATATTATACCTATATTGGATACTTATCACGCTATGGTATTTTGTATAAACCTTCTGCATATATACCGGGTTACAAGAAATATATATCCAAATTTTTTTTTCTTTTTTTTTATATTTAGTATATACCCAAGTCGTACCTCACTTGAAACGATATTTTCTTATAATACAAAAATAAAATTAGATTCATTAGTATAATTTTAAAATTAAGTTATGGTTTGTAAATTATTTAATATAATGACAATCAATTTTGGCTTATATTTTACTTTTTGCATTAAATGTGAATTGTAGGTTGAATCTTAACAAATTAAATCATTTAACTAATTTTTACATTACATTAAATTAAAAATAAATATTTTTATAAACTACAAAGCCTACACTACAGGAAATGACACTTTTGGCGACCAAACTATTGGTCGCCAAAAGCCCTATTTTTGGTCGCCAAAACAAATTAGCGACTAATTTTTTTGGTCGCCAAAGTCGTCGCCTATGCTCTGTCGGCGATAGTATTGGCGACTAAACTATTTTTGGTCGCTGAAAGTGAACGTTTTGGCTACTAAAGTCTGGTTAGTCAGCAAAGGTTATCTTTTGGCGACTAAAATATTAGTCGCCAAAACTGAACATTTGGCTACTAAAGTCTGGTTAGTCGGGAAAGGTGATATTTGGCGACTAAATATTTAGTCGCCAAAAGTGTTCAAATAAAATTAATTTGATTTTTAGCGACAAAAAATTTTAGTCGTAGATAAGTTTTAGTCCCAACATTACTACATTTAGGGACTAAAGAATTTAGTAGCCAAAAAAATTATTTTTCATTAAATTTTATTTTTTGCTACTAACCATTTGGTCGCCGAAAGTTTTCATTTATTTTTTGCTACTAAACTATTTAGTCACCTAAAGTCTTATATAGTTTTGACTACTAAATTTTTAGTCACCAAAAATCTTTGGATTCTTTCTAGCTACCAAATATTTAGTGGCTAAAAACATTGATTTCCTTTTTTACTACCAATTGGTTAGTCACTAACAAATTCACTTTTTCTTTTTTGGCTGCTAAACATTTACTTGCCAAAAACTTTATTTAGTGTTTTTTTTATTATAATTTATTTATCCACAACCTGTATTTATTTCGTGCAACCTGCACCCTGTATATAAACAAAATAATACATATTTCTATTTCGTTTCAACCATACAAAAATTTGGTGTTTTAACATCAAATTCTATACAAATCAAATATAATCCAACCCAAAATAATAATTCCATACAAACAGATATCCTTTGTACACAAAATTCTACATCAAATGTCAGCAAGCATAAAAGAAAATCCATGAAGTATCAACAAGTAGCAATCTGTAGAGAGCTTCTGGCTCTGCGCTTCAAGGTACTTGTCGACACTGACAACGAACTCTATATTCCAAAACAGATCCAGAAGCTGTTGTGAGAAACAAAGAGGAGGTTTTTTCATTGAATTCATCTTGGGAAACTGATGTGATAGAAGACAAGTGATGATATTCTAGACTTCCATGGACTATGCATTTCCACTTTCTTTGATGTAGCCTTCTCTCTACCAAATTACCACCCTGCATATATTATATGATGATCACAATAAGTATCCAATTTTCATCAAGAGAACACATAAACATCAAAGATATGAAAAAAATAAAAAAGAAAAGAAAAAAAAGAAAAAGTTTCTACCAGTGCACAAGGCAAATACAACATGGTCTAGAAAAGATAGTATATAGACTGTCTTTCCCTTTATTTTTTTTTATTTTTTATTTTTATTTCGTGGAGAGACTGATCCCCATGACTCAAACCATGCGCAACGCTAGAAACATGTAGCACTTGTAATAGCTACAAGGCAGACACAACATGGTCTAGAAGAGATAATAGGTTGACAATCTTTCCCATTATTATTTATTTTTTTTGGAGTGACTGATTGTCATGACTCAAACCGTGCACAAAGCTAGAAATAGATACCACTTGCCATCGCTCCAAGTCATGACCTTTAAAGACCAAATATAATATGAAGAACTTTCTTAGGTTTAAGGGGACTTGTGTAAATACTTAATGTATCCCTCACTAGATTCCGTTTTAATAGAAGTATCATGAACTGGGTCGCCCTTTTAGTAAGTGATTGGAAAGTGGTGATTACCTTAGTCAAAAGAAATAGGGATACAGAAATGAGATCCACCAAAGCCATGTAAAGCACACCCTTTTGATGGCATGAGAGAAGTATCTTCTGTCGTTGTTCCTTCTCTCCATATGTGCTTCTTCCATGATGGCTTTGAGCTTCAGTCATATTCATAAAGATCCCCAATTGAACTGCAACAAAATAGTTTCATGCTTGGATTATATGGTGCTGTCACCATAAACTTGCAAATTGAAGAGAGCAAAAGTGCACTTTGATTCATAAATGACACTGGACCAAATGATTTTGGAGTTATTGCCAACATGATGTGGCATAATGTATTTTACTCATTTATTTGGTCACTTGGTCCCTATTGTTTCACTTTGTCCCTACACTTTAAGTGCAATTTCAATTTAGGTCATATGGTCCAAATTTCATTAATTGTTTCTGCATGTACCCATCAGGAGATAGACACGTGTCTCAATAACTTCCGACTTGAACGGAAAGACCAAATTGAAACTAGACTCAAAGTGGTATTACATATTGTTCAAATTTGAAATAATACTAAAGTAAAATTTTTCAAAATTACCTTTTGATAGTATATTTTTGTAGAAATATCAATTGTCATAATTGTACTTTTAGTGCATAAGCTTCCCATCATTGCAGGATTTGGGAAGAATCAAACGTACAGTCTTATCCCATGTGTAGAGATGTTGCTTTACCATGAGTGGGTGACTAAACACTAATAAATAAATAAAACTAGGAGGTACTGGAAATTAGAAAAGGGAGAGAGGTCGCACCTTAGGGTGAAAATTACTTCTGGTCTAACAGTAGCAGCATCAGCTATTGCTGCAACATTTGCACCGGGAGGTCGACCATGATTTGCAAAACAAAACATCCAAGTGAATATCCAAGTTTCTTCTTTCAAAAAAAGGTGGTAAAATTAATACATTACTAGTTTAAATACATAATGTCAAAAAAAAATCAATTTTAATATTCTCTGTGAGATTATATCCCAATTTTTTATGACCATGTTCCATGGGGCTTGGCTAATTATGCAGTGGTTTGATAAATTTGTCACTTGAGCATAGAATCAAACACTTGGTGGGCAAAAAACTTTAAGGGCTAGCATGGTGAGCATAGATTATTATTATTGTCTAACCAAACAAGGATACCATTGTCCAAGATAAATAATCAGATAATAAATATGAGTCTCTCATTATCATAAGGGGCTTTCTTTGTTTCATTTGCCTTCTAAAAACATAAAACTGCCATCAAATTTAGGTGTTTTGCAATTATATATGGTACACTCACACCAAATCAAAACCTTAACACAAAGGCAAAGCCATATCTCTACTTAAGACTCGCTTCTCTACATCCACCACAACCACCACCATCATCACAGATAGGCACAACAAACCAAGAACGCTGAAATCAAGTGACCAGGTATGTAACCCAAATAGTCAGTTTGGGTAGCAGAACAATGGTGAACTCAACCCATGAACAACCCTAGACAGCATATATAAATCAATGAAGCACGTATTTTGCTTCCCAATGTGAACAGAGTGACAGCACACTTGCACAAAACTCATGGTAGCGAACCTAAAACTATGGTTAAAAAGGAAAAATCAAGCAATACCAACTAACCATGCCAAATTTCTGAATGTGTGGGCAACACCGAGTACATGTCCAGCAGTTAAAAACATATCTACAAACACGAAATGATCTGCATCCGCCCAAAAAAATAAAAAATCTCATCATTTATAAACATTCACACCAAAGTGTGGAGCAAGCTAAGAGAGAAACCAAAACAGAATATTCTTCATAGTATTGACGTAAGCATTTTACAACACTGCTACTCATTTTCGAAATTTAAAAAATTGAACAGCACAAATTGAGCAAAATCCCTAAATTTAAAACCTTAAAAATTGGGGAAAAACACTCACAAATTGAGCTATAGTTATAGCGAAGACACATTCGACACCGGACTTGAGCCTGGTGAGAGTGGCCTTCTTGTGGGCGACGATGAAAGGGGCATCCGAGCTCGCCACTGTCAAGAACAGAGCTGCTATCAGAAAGAGAGAGAGAGAGAGAGAGAGAGAGAGAGAGAGAGAGAGTTGGAGGAGGGCAGAGGCGTGATGGCGGTGATGCTCCCGTACCTGACGCCGACGGAGACAAAGGCGAGAGAGAGAGAGCTGGAGGAGGGCAGAGGCGTGAGAGAGTGAGAAAGAGAGCGAAAATAAAGAAGTAATAAAGTTCCCTCCGAAATTTCCCTCCGATATGAAGCAAAATTTTTAAATTTTGTAATTAGAATGGCCGACTAATATTTAGTCGGTAAAAATAAAATAACAACAATCTAAAAAATTAAAATAAAAGTAACAAATATATTAAAATTATTTTTAAATAAAAATATAAGTAATAAAATTATAAATTAAAAAAAGGCAAAAATTAAATTATCTTAAATATTTATTCTAATATTTTATGTACTGAAAAATATAATAATATATTTTAAAATTTTATATTCTTATATTTTCTTATATTCTTATATTTTTAATAAAAAAATTTTAATAAAAAATTATGAGCCAGCTCAACCCGTGTTTTTTTTTTTTTTGGGACTCCTGCATGACTAACTAGGCACTAATCAATTTTTTAGAATTTTAGAACATGCAATATGTATATTTTCTCATAGATAAAGACAGATAAAGAAATCATGTGTCAAGTGGATTTAAATAATTTATTATTCAGACAAACAACTGTCCAGAAAGGGAAG